CATCTATATCATCAGCTACCACATCTGCATCACCGTCAACCTGTGTAGGACGTGGGGTGTTGGATCCTGCAGCCTGTGTGGGATGTGGGGTGCGTGATCCTCCGGTCCGTCTAGGACGTGGGGCGCGGGTTCCTCCAGCCTGTGTGGGACGGGGATTGGGGGATCGTCCAGCCTGTGTCGGACGTGGACTGCTGAGTCCTCCAATGTGTGTGGAGTGTGGGGTGCTGGACCCTCCCGCCTGCTGGAAGGATGAAGACATCTGTGTGGGTCCCCCCGTCTGCTGGAATGATGAAGGCACGCCAGTCTGTAGAAATGGAAAACTGGGTCCTCCCCCCGTCTGCTGGAATGATGAGGGGACACCAGTCTACTGGAAAGATGAAGGCACCTGGGTCGGTGGGAAAGGGAAACTAGATCCTCCCGCATGCTGGAAGGAAGATGGCATCTGAGTCGGTGGGAAAGGAACACTAGATTCTCCCGCGTGCTGGAAGGAAGATGGCATCTGAGTCGGTGGGAAAGGAACACTAGATCTTCCCGCCTGCTGGAAGGATGACGGCATCTGGGTCGGTGGGAAAGGGAAACTAGATCCTCCCGCATGCTGGAAGGAAGACGACATCTGAGTCTGTGGGAAAAGGAAACCGGGGCCTCCAGGTGGCACAAAAGATGCAGGTACCCCATACGGGAATGTATGGGAGGAGAGTAATGGGACAAAACCCTGAGTACTGGCCAGGGACATAGGATCAACCTGACTCTGAGGGGGTGGGCACATGGCTGAGTGAGGAGACTCACATGTTACTACCCTCGGACGCTGAGACTTCTTACCGCTATCCTTATTTTTCGGTGGCATTTTACCTAGTTATATATATTTTCATAAACAAAGATAATAAAGTCATTGACATAAATATATATTCATTGACAAATTCAATATATATATGTTCAATAGATATTCATTAATATTACATTAAGTGATTAATTAATCTAAATCTTCATGCTCGTTATCCATATCATGTTCATCATCCGATGTAATATTGTCCTCGGATTCAAACTCTTCATCATTGTCTTCATCCACATTATTATCAACCAACAATATAGACACATCAACTTGAAGTCCCTTAACAGTTGTATCAGACAAAGTTGTAATGTCTTCAGCTGCAACCACATCATTAATCTGTTCAACGTCATCAACTTGGTAGGCAGCATCTTCCACTAGATCTTCCACTGTTCAGTGTAATGTGAAGTTCTGTTTACGGGATATATCATAAGTCCATTCTCCAATCCATATCTTCTTCAAATCATCAATTAAAGGTTGTAAGTACACATCAATTCCGGCTTTTGGACTGTGCGGGCCTGGAATAACACACGTCAAAAACATGTATGGTTTTGTCATGCACATCTCAGGAGGGAGGTTGTAAGGTGTTACAATAACTGGCCAACAAGAATACGCACTTCCTGACGCTTGCACGTATGGGGCAAATCCATCAGAGCATAATCCAAGCCTGACATTTCTAGGTTCTGCAGCAAAATCTGGATGTGTCCGATCAAAGTGCTTCCATGCCTCACCATCAGATGGATGTCGCATAGTGCCAGAACTTGTTTGGTTTGTATGATGCCATGTCATTTGACTTGCACTGTGCATTGAAGTAAATATTCTTTTTAACCTTGGTATTATAGGAAGATAAAACATGGATTTTACTGCTACACGCTTTTGCTTGCTGTTAACGGCTCTACTGCGAACTTGATATCTTGGACTATTACAAAACTTACACTCCTCTAACGATCCATCTTGAGTACCAAACTCATTGTCATAAAACAACATGCAACCGTTAATGCAACAGTCAATCTTTCTTACTTTTAAACCCAACTTCGACACCCACTTCTTTGCATCATAATAACTTGTACGCAAGTTGTCTTTCGTAGAGGTGGAGTCCAACATCATTTTTGCAAAATGTTCCAGACATTGATCAGAAACATTCCAATTTGACTTGGCGGCCAATAATCTCACACACATTGATAGCTTTGAGTCTGACGACCCCTCAAACAACGGCGTATTCATCTCGTTCAATAATTGATAAAATCTTTGCGCTTCCTCATTCAGCAACTCTTCCCCGTCAAAATCTCCAGGTTCATCATATGTCACGTTCACACCAAAAGCATCCTCAACCATGTCACCGATCAAATTAAAGTTCTCCTCATACTCCATAACCGGTCGACTACTTGAAGCATGCGTGTTGCTAGTCTCTGGTACATTAACCGGTAGTTCTTCACCATTATACGTCCAAACCCAATAATTTTCAATGAATCCCCTTCTATGCAGATGACGTGTTACTTCCTCTGGGTCACTAATTATTAGTCTACATTCACATTTAAGACAGGGACACCTAACCCCTCCTTCGCTTCGACAACAATCCTGAGCAAACGCCCACTTAATAAACCCATCAACTCCTACTATAAAATTGGGTTTAAGTCCACTTCTTCCTGAATATGTTCTATCGTACATCCAACTACGATAATACCGATAATATTCCATACTGCACATTTATACAATCATTGTCTTTTTTATTAGAAATATTAATCAACTTAATAATATTATTCTTAAACTATTTAATACTATTCTTAAAAATATAAATTTTACTTTTTTATATATATACTAACATATAAATAAATATTCAAATGTAAAATATATAATTTTTTATTATATAACAATAATATCAAAAAACAATAATATAACATATTTACTTTTTATTATATATACAACAATAATATTAGAAAACAAATAATGTAACATATATACTTTTTATTATATATATAACAATAATATTAAAATAATAATATAATATATATAATCTTTTTTAATTATGTTTTTTATAAATTCTTATTTTAATATATAATTTTTTTTTCATATCTTTAACATATAAATAAAAAAATAAAACTATTATAATAAATATAATATATATTTTTGTTTTTAAATATGTTATTAAATTTATGTGTTAACATATATATATATATACATCTATAAAAAATAAGACTTTTAATTTTATGTTTTCTAAAAATTTTTATTTTAATATATATTCAATTTTTATTTTATTTTATACGTATATACTAACAAATTTTTTTTATATGTCTATATAACATGCAATAATATTAATAAATATTAACCTATATATATTAACAATAATATTTCTGTTTAATAATATATTAATATATAAAACATTCTAATTTTCATTTTATTTTAAACATTAACCTATAATACTAATTAATCTAAAACTAAAATTAACTAAAATATTTTTTTAAATCACATAAACAAAATACATATACTACTAATCTATATAATACATATAAAATATAAAAAAAATGCATAAATACCTCTATATAATTTCTTCACTTAATTTGCTTCTTCTTGGTGTTCTTCTTCAAATTTCTCTACAGGTTAAACAAAATACCCTTTTTAATATTTATTACCAGTATAATAAATAATGAACAAATGAAATAAAAATTTATCAAAATATGAATACCTTATTCTTCTTCAACAATTTGGGATGAAGGAAATTTGATTTGGGAATTTGGGTTTGAGAGGTAGAGGCAAGGCAAACCAGTAAACAAAGGAAGAAGAAAGGAAGAAGAAAGGAAGAGGAAACAAACCACATGCTGTAACGGATGAGAATTTTGTGGAGATGTAAACATCAAGTAGCGACGTGACTGTCACGTCGCAACATTGCCACGTGAGACTCACGTCGCTACACACTCAACAGAAATATAATTCACTTTCCCACTCTGCCACCCTGTCATCAATCAACTTTAATTTCCCCCTTAAATGTAGCGACGTGGCTATCACGTCACTACCAAATTTTAAAATAATTTTAAACTCCCTCCAACTAAATGTCTCAGAGTTTATACATATTAAATTTTCGTTTACTGTAGCGACGTGTAAGACACGTCGCTGATTTTTTTACTAAACAACCTTCTCTGACTTGTTTTATTTATCATTAAAATATGTTTGTGACGTGGTTATCACGTCGCAACTGCATTTATTACTCACGTGATAACCACGTCGCTAATATATGTCGCTGTGGACCATCTTTCTTGTAGTGGGTCTTAAATTAAGTGTCACATTTTAAAAAATTATTTGTTTTAAAATACTTATCACTTTAGCATATCGATACAATTTTAATTTTTATCTTTTAATTATACACTCTAATTAATATACTTAATTTATTGTTTTCTCACTCTGCATTGATGTTAATTCAAATAAACCAATAATTAATTAGAATAATTTGATAAAATCATTATTATCTCTTTTATTTATTGCACTTTCTTAGTTCATGTGAAAGTGTCGAATATAACACTTAATTTAGGAGGAAATGAATAGATCAAAAGTGCACTTAAGTTTTTTATTTTTTTCAATTAAAAAAAAAATTAAGAAATTATTAATTTTACAACAATGATTTGGAGCAACGCATTTATAGATTAACAAACTCAAATCCAATATCCAACCAAAACTATGTTAGTTGTCGCGGGTTAGATTGAATATACTTGTAAATGAATAATTTCAAATGATTAATGAATTGATTTGGTTTGGTTTGGGTCGACGCCTTCGACCAAGACATTAAACAGCCCCTAAAATTTGACATTAAAAAAAAGTAAAGTAAATTCTTAGATGTCCATTAGATGTCAATGATAAATAGTAGAGTATCGATAGTAGTGTTCACCTTTAAAAAAAAAACAACTTTCCACAAGAAAGATTTTTTAAATTGCAAACATTCAAAGATTAGGAAATAAGAAATAATTAAAGTAGAAATTGACCTAACCTAAATGTTTAGCGTAGTATATATTTGAACCCTAAATCAGAGAAGGAGTAGGTTTTCTCGTTCAATCTTCCTGTGCGGTAACATTTTCTCCCAAAACTTTTATATCTTTTGTAATCCCAACAAAATTATATTCTTGATTTCTTTTCTTATATTTTGCAGGATTTTAATCTATTGCATTCAATACTCTCATCTTTTACAATGACACAAATCTCAAAAATGTTTGGTACCAAACCTCTTGTATCTGCAATGGCCTCAATTCTGCTAATGCGCACTATCACGAATCAACTCATTCCCCATGAGCTTCGAAATTTTTTTCAATCAGGAATTCATCATCTTTCTCGCCAATTTTCGGCGCGATTCACTATAGTCATTGAAGAATTTCAAGGGATGGCAAGAAACCAAGTTTTCGAGGCGGCAGAAGCCTATCTTGGAACTAAAGCAACTGTCTCAGCTGAGAGAGTTAAGGTAAGCAAATCCGAGGATCAAAAAACTCTTTCATTCAATATTGATAGAAACGAAGAAGTGAATGATGTTTTTGAAGGTATTAGGGTAAAGTGGAAACTAATTTGCATACAATTCGACAAGTCGCGGATTCGTTATTATGATAGCGACTCGTCGTCCGTGTCAGAAATAAGATCCTATGAACTTACTTTTCAAAAGAAACACAAGAACAAGATTTTCGATTAATATTTGCCTTATGTGATGGAGATAGCTAAAAATATCAAACAAGGGAACATAGCTGTTAAGATTCATTCAAATGAAAATGATTGTTGGGATCCCGAAGCGGTTAAGTTCAACCATCCAATGAGTTTCAACACTCTTGCGATCGATGAAAAGCTTCAAAGAGAAATTGTGAATGATTTGGACAAATTTGTGAGGGCTAGAGAGTTTTATAAAAGAACCGGGAAGGCTTGGAAGCGCGGTTACTTGTTGTATGGTCCTCCTGGTACCGGAAAGTCTAGTTTGATTGCTGCCATGGCTAACTATCTCAACTATGATATCTATGACTTGGATCTCACTGAGGTAAGTGACAATAATTTCTTGAAGCAATTGATGCTAACCATGTCAAACCGTTCTATGCTTGTGATAGAAGATATCGATTGCACTATTAACCTGCAGAACCGAGAAGAAGATGAAGAAGTGGTTAATAATGGACACAACAAGATGACACTCTCGGGACTATTGAATGCTGTAGATGGTCTTTGGTCATGCTGTTCAGAGGAACACATAATTGTTTTCACAACAAATCACAAAGAAAGACTTGATCCTGCTTTGTTAAGGCCTGGTAGAATGGACAAGCAAATTCATTTGTCATATTGCAACTTTTTTGCTTTTAAGAAATTAGCACTGAACTATCTTTGCATTACTGAACATGAACTATATGAAAAGATTGAACAACTTCTAGGACAAGTTGAAGTTACTCCAGCCGAAATTGCAGAAGTGCTAACAAAGGATGTTGATGCTACAGAATGCCTACAAGACCTTATCAATTTCCTTCAAGACAAGAAAATGATCAAGGAAGAGATTAAGAGTGAAGAGAATATTAAAGAAGATCATAATCTAGGTAGAGAAAATATATAGGTCATGTTTGGTTCTGTAATATAGAATGTTAAGCTAAATCTCTCTAGAGCTACTTGTATACTGCTCCAGGCTTCTTCTTGAGACTAGAGATTATCTTTGATGTGTTGGGTCATTGATTTTCATATCAAACTTACAAAGGGATATTTCAAGTATATGAAGTTTCAAGTTCTTTGTTGTTATTTTTATATATTCTAAACTTTAATATTCAACTAGTAGGAATTTCTCTCAAATGCAATAATTAAACCTAAAATATGCTAAAAACACTTTTATGGTTTATTGTTTTTTGTGTACTATAATTTATACGCAAGGTCTTCAATATGGTCTTTTGCATCATCACATTAGGATTAGGATTTGAATAGGAGGGAGGCTCATTCCACAAAGAAAAGGTTACATAGACAAATTAAAAACCATCCACTTAGTCAAAAAAAAAAAACACAAATAGACACTTTATGAAATGATTTTTCAATATTTGGTTAATGTTGAATTTTGAAGTGTATTCTAATTGTCATTATGATATTGCCTTGTCTTGTGTAATTATAGTAAAATGGCTGACAAACAACGAAGGTATAAGTATGATCGGTTGTCTCAACAAATATTAGTGCATAGGGGGGAAACTAAACCCCTCGTGTAGTTTGACAATCATTGGTGCTGTTGAGGGAACGTTGTCCCATATTTATGGATCTCTGACACATTATGATGCATTTGTTGGTTTTCACATCCTCCATTCGGACTTGATACCGTCGCACCTCTAAGTTTTTTTAGTGACTTAGATAACATGTCACTACTACTATAAAAAATCTCTTTTATCTTGGTTGAAAAAGGAGTTTTACCTCAATTTCATAGGCGAGTTGACGAACGGGCGTTTTGAAAATTGCCCCACTATTTTTCTTTGGTAAACTTTCATCTAGAGGAAAATTGTATTCGTCATCAGTTCAACCCCCCTAACTATAGCATTTTGTGATTATCAAAATTACGCTACTTTTTACCTCAGTTGAAACTAATACCCGAGTAAAAGTGTCTCTTTAAATAATTTTTATTTTAGCCTTTTTTTTCGTTTCAATTTGCAAAATATCAAATTTGTTGATAAATTTTGAATCTTCCTCGTCATCATATCAACAACAACAACAAATAAATAAATAGAATCTTTGAACATTAAATATTTACAACAACAAGATCCATAAAATCTTTAAACATTAAATTTCAAAAACAACAACGACAACAAAAAAAAAGAAGCAAAATAAATAGAATCGTTAAATATTTAATCTCAACAACAACAACAACATTAAATATTTTATTTGACACAACAATAACAATTAACATTTTTAACAAGCAATTGTAAACATTTTTAACAAGAAATTATAAGAGAGGCGATTACATTAAGGAATAAATCTTTAAACTTTTTCATACTCATGCAATCAATCTCAAGTAATGGTGTTGCACTTCATTCTGCTGCTTTCATTATCATTGTTATAATTATGTTATTTTTATTTCAGCACTTTGCATCCAAGATAGATCACTACAACATTCACGTTTTGATTGGTTGGTGAAGGCTTCACACAGATCACTGAAGTTTCATGTGGATTGATGAGTTGACAATATCTTAACCGTTGTTACTATATAAATAAATTGATAAAGATTCATTACTTAACTTTTTTGTCAAATTAGATATATAAAAAACTTTCCTCTATTGCAGAGATTTAAAAGTGTGTTCTTTGAATACTTTTTTCCTCAGTTGTAGATCAACCAAGGAAATACGTAGTGTTTTTTTATAAAATAAAATAAAATGTGGCGCGTCTTTGATTTACACCTTAGTTGTTTATATATTTTTCATTTTTAAAATATTTTGTTCCAATATGTTTTTATCAACAAATGCACTTTTGTTATTTTACCATTAAATTAATTAAATGCTTAAGATTTAAAATTAAGGAAAATTAAGACAAATATAGACCGGGAGGATTCAAATCCCTACATTATTATCTAGATAATCTCGTCATAGTTGGCATATCGAGAGAGTAGTGCACTACTACAGATAATATATTTTATGACATATCATAAAAGATCTATTTTTTACTACAATAAATAATAAAGCACGTTAATTGATTTTTTCTTTCAATGTATAAAGCATACGAAATAATCTATTTTTTAAATACTATCAATAATTAAGTATAAGAATTGATTATAAATTTAATTTCTTTAAATATATAAAATATATTCAAATATTTTTTTACTCTATAAAACGGTTAGATCCATGGTTTTAAGATTGGCAATAATTTTCCTAAAACATGGTTCATGACAAACGCTAAGCAAGATGTCATAACATCTTGATCAAACTGATACAGTAGAGTGTGAGCTTACATTGAAGACATATGTTTTGATAGATGTTGTGACATTTTGTACCAGAATATTAGTACAAGTTGTTTTAAATCTTGACAAATTTGATTTGATTTTGTGATATTTCTTTTTGGTATATCTCAATGATTTGAGGAGGTCAAAAAGATTTAATCTAGAATAAATTATCTAATCTCCAGCTATACATAAGTTTCTAAAATTGAATGTTGAGACAATTTAGGAAACTTGACATTTTGTTCCAAGATTTAAGGAGATTTTTCTGCATAATTAGTGCAGCTCTCAGCTTGTGGATCAAGAAATATTTGGTGAAGATTTTGAAGCCCATGGACTAATGAGGAGTATTTAAAGATAAACCTAGATCTAATGTAATTTAACTTTCACAATTGTAAAATTAGGAGATGTCTAAAGTCTTAGATTTTGAGAGTCTCTTGTGTTTTTGTAAGTCACCCATGTATCTTTTGATACAATAAGGTAGTCTGATTATTACACTACTATGGAAAAGGCATTTAACAACTGTTGAGAAAAATATCTAATCACGCGAGACCAGTGTTTTTATGTAGCGTGTGGTTGTATATGTGGTACTTACAATCACGGTCCAGTGACCGTCGTAGTAAACTAGAAAGCATGTGCTTTATAACAATGGTTATTCCTATTAACTGTTGTGATATTTTGTATGAATAAATGTCAAACTTTCATACCAGAATCAACACTAAACCATTTTTGAATTAATATCAAAACTTGTATTATAAGTACACAATTCCATTAAGTACATCAAAATTTGAACAACTCGAGATATGCAATCTTTTCAAATTCTAAGAAAAAATAAGGCGTATAGAATTAAAGAAACAATGATGAACAACTTTAGTTTTTAAACTTCCAAGAAAATAAGAATAAAAATCAGAAGGAACAATATAAATATGGAAGAATCAACATGTGTTATCCTGCTCAAGCTACCAACAATATTGAGAATCAAAATATTGTTGTAGAGTGTGTTGTGGTGCAAAACTAGCCTCAGAATCAAGATGTTGTTGTAAAGGGTGTTCTGGTGTAAAAACAACCTCAAAATCAAGATGTTGCTATAGAGGGTGTTGTGGCGCAAAACCATCCTCAGATTCAAGATGTTATTGTAGAGGGTGTTATGTTTAGACCAATGAGAGCTCTCAGGGTGAGAAGAAGAAGAAGAAGATTGAGAAGGTAAATTATATTTTTTTTATTTTGATGATGATGATGAGGCTGACTATGTTTGGTCTAACTTTATCTCGACGAGAGGATTTATATTTAACTATGGTTTTTGATCATGTAATGAAAGTTTTATGTAATGAAGTTTTAATCTTTCTTCTTAACTCTCTTAAGGTTATCAAATTAAACATTCAACTTAAATTATCATCTTAAACTACAAAATATATAAAACACATAATTGTAATTGAAAATTCAACAGTTTGCGATGAAGTTACTCGTAAGAAACCTTCTGTTAGTTGCATTCCCATCAATGCCACTGCATCTTCAACTATTATATTTCATAAAAAAGTAAATATTAAACATAAAAGATATAAGAAAACATAACATTTTCAAATTTCAAACCCTACTTCAACTGTTACATTTCATAACAAGGTAAATATTAAATATAAAGGAGATAAGAAAACATAACATCTTCAAATTTCTAGAAAATCTCACTGACTTCAGTTTGTTCTTCAAATTCTTGTTCTTCTTTTTTGAATCTTCACACATAACCTTCAAATAGCCCACAACTTCTAACTTTGGCATCATATTACTCTCATCTTCATTTCCCAATTTTTATCTCATGTCTTCATCCCAAATGAACAAATTACATGTTTCATCACTCCTCCAAAATGGAAATCTCCAAAAAAGCCTTCCTTTATTTTGACCTTTCTTGCATTGGTTTGAAATCATACGACTGTCACAACTGCATACATTTACAGATCGAGATTTTACAGTGGAAGAAGACATAGTAACACCTTTGGATGAGTTTGTCTTCAAATGCGACATTGAAACGAAACTAGACAACAACAATGGGTATGGGTGTCAATGTCGACGACTATCGTAACCGACAAAAAATATGAGAGTCGCCACCATTAATTTTTATCCTAAGGACAAGAAAATAACGGGTAACCCTAATTGTTTAGAGATTCTAAGTTCATGAGTTGGTTAGACAAAGGGAAGGTGTTAGGCACCCTTCATCTCCCTTTTCTCAAGGGGCTCCATGTTTAGGTCTAAGGGTAGATCGGGGATTTGTACTTAGTATGTTATTATTGATTGTATAGGAAAAAGATTTATATTTTTAGCTTATGGACTCGCCTTGATTTTAATCACGTGTCTACGTATCTTCTTGCGAAGAATCAGATTCCAAATTTGTACTTTGTATGTGGTTGGTTAGCTTTTTTTATAGATTGTGTAAATGCTTTCGAATTATCCTTGAACCTTGTCCGTGTTTAAAAATAGCGTAGTCGTAGATGAAGTTGTAGTTAATTTAGAAAATATATCCACAATCATTTTTGAAAATAATATTTGAAATTTAAATTAGGTTAGTGAAAAATGATGTTAAATTTGATGTGTTAGTTGTCTTAGAATGCACGATGAAGTTTGAAAAAAATAAGTTTGAATGATAAAAAATATTTGATGAATTGATAAAA